TCTTTCAAGGGCTTACATCATTTTTACGCTGTAAATGTGTGATTAGATGTGTGATTGGAGGGAACATCGGCCAGTTTATACATATGCAAAAGTAATCAATAAAAAGCTAAGGGAAAACAATTCATGGGGAAAGCCACTGGCAGCATTCTACAGAAATTGAGCTGGTTGCTAAACATTGCCGTTAGGGATGCCGGAGCACTGTGTAGTTCAAAATCCGTATATAACTCTTATGGCAAAAATCTAACTACAAAACAGTGACAGATTTTACTTTCTTGGGCTCCATGATCACTGCAGAGGGTGACAGCAGCCACAAAATTCAAAGATGCCTGCTTCTTGGAAGGAAAGCAATGATAAACCTAGACAGCACTTTAAAAAGCCACCCTTCCCACCGCCTTAATTCAAAGTTTCTTTTGCTTGCCTGTTCATTTTCACAGTTTTGACAGTCTATCACTCACTCTCACTCTCTCTCTCTCTCTCTCACACACACACACACACACACACACACACACACACACACACACACACACACACACACACACACACATATCCAACCACATTTCCTCCCTCCCTCCAATTCCTCCCTCCATTTTGTACATTTAAATAAGGTTGATGAAGTCCTCGGTCTCTCACACCTTTCTTCCCTCCCTTGCTTGCTCCTTGATCCTTTCCCCGCCTCCTGCTCCCTTGCATTCATTTCCGGAGGAAGCAGTCATTCAAAGCCCCGGATTGATTAATTGATTGATTGGGGCTATTCCACAGCTGTAGCCAATTAAGCAGTCTTATCTCCCACCAACGGAGGATTTACAAGTGCCTGCTGCAACCAGGAAGTAACAGGGAGTGGTGGCTTACAATTTGTAGTTTGCCTGCAGAGGGTGGGGGTGCGAGGGATGGGTGTAGCACTCTGCTCATTACCCCCAGGATTTTCACTTTTACCCATTTTGGGGTAATGTACCCCTGTTCCCCAACCTATGCACTAATGCTTTTTGAACACAGTAAAGTGCAGATGGTATACTATGTTAAATATGTAGCATGCAGTTTGCATTCACTTTTCCATATTGAAATAGAGATGTGGATTTAGATCATCATGTGTTTCTCCGTTATTTAATTTTTGCTTCCAAATTAAATGAAATCTTGGTCATGGAGGACTAAAAAAATGGAGCTTCATTAAACCTTTGTTTTAAAAACCCTCAGTGCACATGTGTGAATTTAGAAATTAAAAAACAGGTTGGGAAAGTTATGGTGCCAGTCTGGGTTAAATGAATACAAATTTATTTTAGCATTAAAAAGATGGCAATCTCTGACTATGCACTACGTAATTAATAGAGTGTTATTTAGTTGTACATTCAGTCACAGGTTCTAGTTTAAATGTACTGCAAAACATCTTCCTTGTGGAAAATCTGCCTTGATATTATGAACACTTGCAACTTTGCTTTGCCATGTGCAACTCGTGTTGTTAATTCCATAGCTAAAAGGCTGCTTATCAGTGCAGCTGCAAAACCTATTCTATCTGAGAATATCAGAAGGGGAAGGAAAAGTTTTAAAGAAGCTGCTTTTTGGTGAAAGCTTTCATTCTGCCATATTGGGTTTTTATTCCTTGAGAATGACAATTCCTGAATCAGTTTCTGTTGGTGAAAAACTATGCAAGCTGTGAAGTTACAGAGGACAGCCCTCTTTCTTATTTGTCATTGTCACTGAATCGAGGCATGAGAAATTCTTGATCTTTAGCATTTTTTTAGTTAAAAGGAACTTAACCATATGAAATAAAATACTGTACATACCTCAGGGAAGTGGAAGAACAACAGTGTATTTCCCCCCCCACCCCCGTTAAATCCATTTCATTTTACAGTGGATATTTACCAGTCTCTGCTGCTGCTGCAAATCCCCCATGCCAAAAGGAGGGGAGAGACAGAAGATGGAGACTACAAAACTCTGAGGCTCTGAATTGTCCAAAGCTTGCAGGGTGAAAATATCATCAGAGCCAATTTTCTGTTCCTTTCCCCCTTCATGGGCCATGAAACAACTTTGGTTAGGTGTGGTTATTTCCATTGGGTTAGAGATATGCTAAGGCACACAATATTTGTGTCAGAGTTGAGAGAACATTAAATCCAGTTGGTGGAAGTCCTCCACTTTCTTGCCTGCTGACATCCCCCCTGCCACTCCCCTTTTCATTCCCATGTGAGTTTGGATTTGGTATATATACCAACATGGTATATTATGCATTGTGCTGCTCAGAAGGTACAGTATTTATTAACCTTACTTTCTACATCAATCTTTGATCTACCACTTTCCTCCAGAAGTAAAGAGATTATATGGGGTGCAGGCTTACTGAGACAACAGTCTCTTCTCTGATATTTGTTGGGAGTTGCTACTGGCAGCTCATGTGGCTCAGGACAGATGCAATGTTTGTTTACTGGGCTAGCAAAACTGCATAGATGTCTTATTTCAACATATGCAGTGCCTTCCAATATTTGCCTCTCAACAAGGTATTTTCATCAAGCTTCTATTGCAGTCAGCAAAAGAGCAATGAAAATGCTGTATTTATAGAGATTGTGGCTTCCCATCTATAAACACAGAAATCTATACAAATAAAGAATATGCAATAATGGAGCAGAATCATGCCTCCCATCAAATTGTGACTATAAATGAGGAAATAAATACAAATGGACCTAATAAAACTGATTAAGCATAATTCAGTTGAGATGAGAAACATAACTATTCCATGCTACTTTTTAATTGTTCTCTTTGCTTCTGCTCTTAACTTCTATCCCATTCTCTGGTGAAACATGAAAACCTAATCTTATATTATGAACTTCAGCATCTTATAGGAAAGATACATATATGTTCTGCCTTAGGTATTTCAGAAATCATAGTGGAAATCATAGGTGCATACAGTTCTCCATCCATGACATAAAAGACGAAGCCACTTTAACCCTAGGAACTGTTTTTGTCCTGATAGCTGTAGCATTGCCCCCCCCCCAAAAAATTCAAGTTTTGTCAGAAAGCTAGGCTATATGAATACAGTACATAGTAAGAACTGGAAACTGAAGCAGTTAAATCGGTACAGTGGTGCCTCTCAAGACGGTTCCATGGAAATCGCTGTCTTGCGAAACCCAGTTCCCCATAGGAATGCATTGGAATCTATTTAATGCCCAGTTCCCCATAGGAATGCATTGGAATCTATTTAATGCCCAGTTCCCCATAGGAATGCATTGGAATCTATTTAATGCCCAGTTCCCCATAGGAATGCATTGGAATCTATTTAATGCCCAGTTCCCCATAGGAATGCATTGGAATCTATTTAATGCCCAGTTCCCCATAGGAATGCATTGGAATCTATTTAATGCCCAGTTCCCCATAGGAATGCATTGGAATCTATTTAATGCCCAGTTCCCCATAGGAATGCATTGGAATCTATTTAATGCCCAGTTCCCCATAGGAATGCATTGGAATCTATTTAATGCCCAGTTCCCCATAGGAATGCATTGGAATCTATTTAATGCCTTCCAATTGGGGGGGAAATCACTGTCTTGTGAAAGTTGTCCATAGAAGACATCATCTTGCAAAACACAGTTCCCCGTACCATATTGGGGAAAAACAATCCCCTCACCTGCACTGCCTTTGGAAATTCAATGGATCTCAGATGGCCTTCCCCCTCTTTCTCCAGCAACAAAGAAAGAGGATGAAAGGAGTCAAAGCAACCCCCTGGCTCTTGATAATGGTAACTCCTTTTGCCCTGATCCTTTACCATAGGGGAGAAAACGAGAAAAATGCAATACAAGACATCACCAGGACTTGCTACCTTTGCAATAGGTCCTGATGAGAAAAAAGAGAAATGAAAGGGAACCTAGAAAAACCAGAGAAATCATAAGTGCAATCTCCTATTAACACAAATTATGCAGTTGAGTTCCCCACACTTGGGAAAATCATAGGGATAAGTCTCACCCTGGGAAAACCACTTTTATGACATGGTATTTCCCCTGCAAGGTATGAGTTAGAATGACTCTTGCACCTCCTACCCCCTTCTGTCCCCTGACCCCCCAAGGCATGGTGACCCCTTGGCTGCACCTCCCACTCAGTACAGGGCTGCACAGCCCCAGTCCTGCCAGAGGCCAAGAGAGCTCCTCAGTGTTTTGGGGTGCCCTGTGGGACCCCCATCAAGGGCTAAGTGTTCCTCCCACAATCCTCTAGTGCACAGGTATTTGTTGCTGGAGAGAGAAAGAGGGAGAAGGCTATCTAAGACCCATTGAATTTCCAAAGGCAGTGCAGGTGAGGGGAGAGTGGGAGGTGCAGCCAGGGGGTCACCATGACTTGGGGGGTCAGGGGACACAAGGGGGTAGGAGGTGCAAGGGCCATTCCAACTAATACCTTGCAGGGGAAATGCCATGTCATAAAAGTGGTTTTCCTAGGGGAGGCTCATCCATTGTACTTTGGGTGTGCTGCTGATTCTTGTGATTTCCCCAAATGTGGGGAACTCAGCTGTATAATCTGTGTTAATGGGAGATTACATTTGTGATTTTTTTTTTTAAACAATCACTTTATCCTTTGATTCCTGGCTGTTTTCACCATTTTCTGTCATTTAAGTTTACAGCCATAGCCCCATTGGTGATGCTTTGCAAGATGGTTTTTTTCCCCATTGAAACATATTAATTACATAAGACCTACTTTTTTTTATCCCAAAAAAGTGGGGGGAAAGTGTATGCTGTTTTTCCAGGAGGCAGACCGTAGAAAGCCAGCAGCATACACTTTCTCCCCCACTTTTTTTGGGATAAAAAACTAGGTTTTATGTAATTAATGTGTTTTAATGGGGGGGAGCCATCTTGTAAAACAGTTTAAAAAACCCATTTTGCAAAGCAAGGACCTGAAATAATCGAGGGATCGTTTTGTGAAGCGCAACATTGTTCAAAAAAAAGGCACCACTGTATTTTATATCTTAAATAAATATTGATACTCTGAAATTATTTTGTCCCTTAGCACTAAAAACAAGCGTTACTTTCTTGTAGTTCAGAGAGTGAAAATGGAACAGAAGAAAGGAGGAAATCTGGAAAACCATCTCCTGGATTGTCACAGATGTCATCTACTGATGTGGAGTATGCTGAAGACCAGAAGAAAGTTGTAGCTTCATGGTAAAAAAAAAGAATCTAAACAGCTTAAACTTACCAGAAGTATAAATGTCTTGCAGCCTTCTACACAAAGCTGTTAGAAATAAAATTACATAGTTCCTGAGCTTTGAAATCCTCTTATAATTTATCCACATAAGCATACACCCATGAAGTTTGCTGTCTTGTGATAGTTCCTTACTATACTCTCTTGGTTGGTTAGTCCTTGAAATAATGGTTAAAAAAAGGATAAGTGGAAATTATCCACTTGAGTTATCCAGCTGAAGTTAACGAGGGGCCAGCTTCCTGGGAGCAACCACACACATGTCTACCACCACTGGCCCCGCTCTTCCTTCCAATCACTCTGAAGCACCCAGTCGGCTAGCCACTCCTGGCAGAAGGAGTGAAGATGAATCTCTGCAAGGCTGACAAGCAGCTAGCCAAACAGGTGCTCTGGAGCGATTGGAAGGAAGAGCAGGGCTGGACCCTCATTAATTCCAGCTGTGCGGGGGTGCTCATATTTGTATACAAATGCCCCCCCTCTAGTGGAAATACCTTCCTTTTTTAAAAGCTGGGGTGGGGTCTTCTTTGTCTCAGGTTTTCAGATACCTGGTTTTAAATCATTTGATCATATAAATCTGAGACCAGAGTCATGTGAATAACTATGACATATAAATTATCACATCCCTCTACAGAAAACTAGAGAAGCAAAAATGGCTGCATAGTAACTGGAAATTGCCCAGTACCATGCAAATTGAGAAAATTGGAGTTTTTTTTGTTCTGCTTTGGGAAAAAAATCATTTTTGGCAGTCTTGATAGAAATCTGAGTGAGATAAAGATCTGTTTATCCTGTCAAAAGACGCCCCATGATCCTATACTGGACTTGTGTGTTAGTGTAAGTGTGGCCACAAAATAATATCTGTGCTTAATGCACACAATCCGTCTGTTTGTGTATTTATGGTCACCACAGAAAGACTCTGCATGGACATGTTTCCTCTGTAAGCCCCAGCAAGCCCCAGTGGCCTAAAGTGCTTCTGTTAAATACTAGATCAGTAAAGGGAAAGTCAAAAGCTATTCAAGATTTGACTTTGGGATGAGTATGCCAATCTGACCTTTATTGTGGAGACCTTGCCAATTATGATGGTCTGCCCCAGGAGGCTCATGAATCCTAATGGTTTCCCGATGGCTCTTGGGGAGTTTCCTGTTGCTGTGGCAGGGAATTTTGTCAAGGTTTGACAGAATTGCCTGCCATAGCAATTTGGAGCAATGGCCAGGGTGGTAGACACAATTTCTCCAAAGTGTCCCTGCCCACAGAATGGAACCTAATTAGCCTCTTGTTTTACTGAGGAACTGGCAACAGATGAAATGAGTGGCATGGAGACTAGAGCAACACGAGTGGAAAATTCTGAGTGAATCTGATTGAACAAAAGTTACTGCTTATTGGAGGGCCTATTCCATGGTGAAAAATCATTTTTCTCTTCACCCATTGCATGTATTCAAAGTCATCCAGCAGAGAATGAAAGAATATTAATTTGCACACAAAAATAACAAAAATGTACTGAGTGTGGATATTTCCTTGTTCCAGGTCAAAGACAATTGTGGCTAATACTCTCTTGGCGACAGATGGCAAGAATAACTCAAAGTCTGAAAGGAAGAAGCATGTCTCCAATCAGGTACAGGGGAGGAACTAATAGTTGCTCGAAATCTGAAAGGTTCTAGGCTGCAAGTATGGCTAGGGGCATAAATGGATTCTAACATATCAGGCTGGAACAATGAGATAGTACTGAGATGCAAATACTGGCCCCCTGCCTCCCATTTTGATGAACATGGGAGTGGGTGGGCAGAAGCAAAAGGGATCCTTTACCTCGTCTTTCCAAATGTCAAGCAACACTTCTTGGACAAACTAGTACGGTAAAGAGGCTACATTTTAAAATGCCATTGTCTCTCTTCAACAAGAATAGATCAGTATCTGGATGCACCTGGCTCCACCAGATACACCCAACATCACTCAGGGACTAAAGAGTAGAGTGACCTCATCCTCCAGGAATGGTGCAATTATGTCATTTGGTACATCCAAATGCCTTTTGCTGTGACTAAAAGAGAAGAAAGAGCATTTCTGTTTCTAAGACTATTTACCCACTTTAAGAAACATACTATATAGCATCTGTATTACCATCACGCAAAGATGACCCTGTAAGATAACAGTGGTCAGGACCAACCTTGGGCATTTTCACAATCAAAGCAAAGAATCAAATTAATCCTCCACAATGCACACATCAGATGAACTTATCATTTATGGGGACCATGGCCTTGAACTCCTTGACAATATCAGTTGTATAGTCTTTACGTAACCCTTCTGTTCCTGAACAACATATATACTCAGAGTCACGCTGGACAATACTTAGCACATTTTTAGTAGGGGTATTTCCTCAAGTAGTAAAATATATCTATGATAGCATATGATATTCTTCACCTGTACATCTTACATTTAGCATGCTTTGTTTTGGCATTGGTTCTTGGAAGATAGAGGCGTAATTTGCGGGCGTGACTGTTGAGGGATATGCCTGTGAGGAAATCCTGGCATAGAGGGGAAAGGGATAGTCACAGTCATGCATGTTAAATTAATCAAGTATGAAATATTCATTTCTTAGTGTCTAGTTTGACTTTGGTACAATATCGCTCCTAGTTTCTTGCCACAGAAAGTTATTCATTAGTAAAACAAGCACTGGTTCAGAGGTAGAGGCAGGAGTGCAGATAATACAATGGAAGAGGCAGTAATCAAAATGTATTCCTTTGTCATTGTTTTTACCATAGTTTAAGGCAAATGCACACTTTCACAAGCTGTTTCTGGATGTCCCAATTGATGAACCTTTGAGACAGAGTAAGTTGAATCCTGTCATTTTTTAATGTTGCATTTTCATAAATTATGTTTTGCATCGCATTATTTTCTATTTTATACATCTGCCAAAAAAAATATGTTAGGACCTCTATTGCTATTTATAGTGTTAAGGATTTTTTTCAACTATTAATTAATGAATTTAGATTTATTTTTTTGATAGACTGTTCTAGTTCATAGCCTAGAATCACAATATCAACGCAAGTTTACTTTTCCCCATAAATCTAACAGCCATTTAGTATGAAGTAGCTTTTTCTAAAAAGCAGGTTACAAGAGTTTGAAGATGTGAGCCAAGAAATTTGACTTTTCCTCCATAACTTACTTCCTTTACACTGGCAGTATGGTTTTTGGAACTTATCATATGTATTTATCACATAGATGATTTTCACCCTCCATGCAATATCACATTAAATATATTACTTGCAGCATTGGACAAGTGCTACAGTTGGATAACATGGCACATGTGACCTTTTTAGATTTCACTTGCGCGTTACAGAAAGAAATCTTGTACCAAGGCAAGCTCTTCATTTCAGAAAACTGGATTTGCTTCTTTTCTAAGGTCTTTGGCAAGGACATTAAGGTAAGTAAAGTTGTGTTTTCTATGTTACATTCAGTGACTCTTGCCTAATTTTGATTCTGTATGGATGGGATTGATGAAGTAAATGTGACTATTCAGAAACAACATGAAAAACAGAAGTAGATAATACAGAAATACAGCCTTATTTCAACTTCCACTGTCCTGACTACAGGAAAGACTAAGGGGGGGTGGTGATTTATGTTATTTCAAAACGGGAACCTGTATCTAATAGTTAGACCTAATTGGAAGAGCCTCTTAGATCAGTGAAACTTGCATATGTGTTGGCTTACCAAGGCTTCATTAATTCAGTGGGAGTTATTCCAGTTGATCCTATCTCTCTCTCTCTCTCTCTCTCTCTCTCTCTCTCTCTCTCTCTCTCTCACACACACACACACACACACACACACACACACACACACACACACTGTACACGGTGCTGACAACTGTTGTTACTTTTTTGTGAAGGGATCCAAATTTCTAAACTCTACATTAAAATAAAGTGTGTGCTACCTGGGAATATGAGGCGGGTTACTGCCACTGCCGACAAATAGCATTGACACTGTAAAGTGGCATCACTGCAACCAAGAATGGCAGTGGAGCCCACAAAAATGGGCAGGCAGCTACATACATACTACACATTACCTCTCAAATGTATGTGCTTAGTCTAAGTTCCATTCAGTTCAATAAGGGCCATTCTAGAAGTGAGGCCTAGGATGCTATGGATATTTACTCAAAAGCAAGCCCTTACACTCAGACAAGAATGTTTTAGTACCAAAGCCTTGAAGTTTGCTATAAGCCCAGCACTAATAAGCTGTTGCCAGTTCCTAATCAGGAGACAATAACAACAGAAGATCCAGATTGACTGACTTGTCACTTTCTTCATTCCAAGAAATCTCTGAACTGTTTGATCATTGTTCAGGACAATCATGTCAGTGTAGGAGCCTTCTTATAGCTTAAACAGGATACAACTGAATATTTTGCAATCTTCAGAACTTACTTTAACATGTGTATATGCATAAAGATGTTTCTAATATTTTGCTCTTAATGAGTTTTTTTTCCTTTTTTCACTTGTCATAACTGGATTTGAAAGTGAAATGATTCCTACAACAGTAATATTTATAATATTCAAGTAACTTTGAATAGCATATGTCAAAAACATTTTCCTGTTTAATACCGTATAGTAAGCGCTAAACCTGTTAACTGAGAACAAAGAACTGCTCACAACCTTCCTGTCTTTGTTAACAGATGTGGATATGCCGTAATTTAAGTTGCACAAGGAAAGGTACCTACTGTATTGCCCCATGTCCCTTGTGTGCCCAGTCTTCCCCAAATGTCCATAACGCATGTGGTTTTCCATACTAAGATTTCACACTGCAAATCATTTGTGCAAAACTTTCTAAATACATAGAGTTGTTATTTTCACACTACATTACAGATATGATCTCATTTCAGATTAGTATCCCTGTGCATTCTGTGACACTAATAAAGAAAACAAGAACAGCCCTTCTAGTGCCAAATGCTTTGGTTATAACAACTACCTCTGATAGGGTGAGTTCACATTTTGGTGTTTGATTTTTAGCACTTTTCAATTTCTCATTTGTTTTGCTTCCTCTTGTCATTTCCATATTACCTTATTTCAACATTTGTTCAGTAAACTTATTATTTTTATTGTTTGTAGGACTTTAGCTTTTTTTCAAAAATGCTAACATGAGAGAACCCTTGACACAATCCAATTCAGAGGAGTCTTAAATAATATTGAACAAATGTAATCTATCCAGATATTAGAAAGCAATTTGTTATAGTACATGCTGCTCTGCTGCTCCTTTTTAATACCTTGTATCTTCATATCAATTGTTAAATCAGGATATGTATATAATCAGAAATACTAACAAAATCAAACATCAGTGATCTCTCCTAGTAACTGTTGATGACCTTTTTTTTCTCAGTACATATTCGTCTCATTTCTGTCCAGGGACACAGCTCACAAACTTTTAAAATCTGTTTGTAGACATCTAGAGGTGAGTAAAATTCCCTTCAGCTTTGTGTGAATATTCTTAATATTAGTTAATCCACTGTATCATCTTAAAACTGTATTTTCAGAATGTGAGTGTTGGCAGCAGTCCTAATCCTTCCTCTCCTGAAAACAATGTCAGAGCTGATCATTCTCCAACTTTGACTTTGGTAAGCTTGTTTCCTTAATGAAGAAAGAGGTTGGCATACTACTAGAGGATAATATGATATTTGCATAAACTGGGATCGTATTTTGCTGAGATTATGAAAGTGTGTTCACACATGATGTTACACCATGACTTTGCATTACAAGGATGAGCCACAAGCTTTAGGGTCATGGATTCCCTGCTGGCAAAACCACAAAGAAAAGATTGGAAGCTTTTATTTTTGTTTGAGTCTAAAATTTAGACTAGCTATAGCTTACAATGACATTTGAACTGCAGTTTGTCTTAGCTATGATTAGTAGAGAGAAGCTGAGTTCAGTCAACACTTTACAAAGCTGCCTCATTCTCACTGACCACAGATAAGAGTAACAAGTTAGGATTCAGACAAAATATGCTAAAGCTGTAGTTATCCTAAAAAGAAATTGAAGCTTCTGATCTCTTGCTTGTGGGAATGATTTATTTAAAAAAAAAACAGTTCATCTATTTTGAAAGATCATGTATTTGGAGCCTAACTACACAGAAAACAAATGTGGGAAATATTTTGTGACAGGCTGATTTGCATTTTCTCCCATAGATCACATGGTGCAATGGGAAATGCAAATCAGCCCAGAGTTCCACACCTCCAATCTGTAGTTTTGTCTCCCCACCAAAGGCTCTTCTGCTTTTTAAAAAGTTGAATCCTTTCACTTTTGGTTGAAAGTGTGTGATCCCTTTGAGTAAATGCATAAAGACCAACAGAGCACGTGCATGCACATATACAAAGCTGAGCTTTGGCAAAGCACCTTCCCCCTCACCTCTTTCCTGATGAGAGAGGATGAGAATAGCACATGTGCACACACACAAGCAATGCCAGCACTCACCTCTCTCTGCAAAGCCTCGCACACACAAGCAATGGCAGCACTCACCTATCTCTGCAAAGCCTCTTTCCCAAGATTTTTCTTTTTTTCTTTTCTCCTGGGTGGGAAGAGTCTCTCTCTCTCTCTCTCTCTCTCTCTCAATTAACAAGCTCTGTCCTTGGCAAGATAAGATGAGGAAACAGATTCATTGAGGAAATTCTTCAGGCAGATCCTTTGAATCGCGTCACCTACAGGCACTTCAAATATAACTGCAATTAGAAGGGATTTTTCTCCTCAGCCTGTGCAGCCACTTAAATCTAAAAGAACAAAATGCCTTGGTGGGACTTCATAATAAAAATGTTAGTTAATTTGTATTTCCCTTGCTGTATAATTGCACCCTTAGTGATGTCTGGCCACATAGCAGTATTCTTCCATACAATGGCTGAAATCCTGTTCACAGAGCTGTGCTACGAAGGTTTATTATGTCATCAGATGTGAAGATTTTTCAGAAATAAAAAATGTCTTATTCCCTTTTTTGTTGTTGTTTAGTCATTAAGTCATGTCTGACTCTTCGTGACGGTGTGGACCAGAGCACGCCAGGCCCTCCTGTCTTTCACTGCCTCCCGGAGTTTTGTCAAATTCATGCTGGTAGCTTCGATGACACTGTCCAACCATCTCATCCTCTGTCATCCCCTTCTCCTCTTGCCTTCACACTTTCCCAACATCAAGGTCTTTTCCAGGGAGATTTCTCTTCTCATAAGATAGCAAAACTACTGGAGCCTCAGCTTCAGGATCTGTCTTCCAGTGAGCACTCAGGGTTGATTTCCTTCAAAATGGATAGGTTTGTTCTCTTTGCAGTCCAGGGGACTCTCAAGAGTCTCCTTCAGCACAACAATTCAAAAGCATCAATTCTTGGGTGGTCAGCCTTCTTTATGGTCCAGCCCTCACTTCCATACATCGCTACTGGAAAAACCATAGCTTTGACTATGCGAACCTTTGTTGGCAAGGTGATCTCTCTGCTTTTTAAGATGCTGTCTAGGTTTGTCATCGCTTTCCTCCCAAGAAGCAGGTGTCTTTTTAATTTTGTTGCTGCTGTCATCATCTGCAGTGATCATGGAGCCCAGGAAAGTAAAATCTGTCACTGCCTCCATATTTTCCCCTTCTATTTGCCAGGAGGTGATGGGACCAGTAGCCATGATTTTCGTTTTTTTGATGTTGAGCTTCAGACCATTTTTTGCACTCTCCTTTTTCACCCTCATTAAGAGGTTCTTTAATTCTTCCTCACTTTCTGCCATCAGAGTGATATCATCTGTGTATCTGAGTTGTTGATATTTCTTCTGGCAATCTTCATTCCAGCTTGGGATCCTTCCAGTCCAGCCTTTCGCATGCAGTAAATGACAACTAAGTTAAACAAGCAGGGGGACAATATACGGCCTTGACAGCCTTGTCATACTCCTTTCCCAATGTTGAACCAATCATTTGTTCCATATCCAGTTCTAACTGTTGCTTCCTGTCCCACATATAGATTTCTCAGGAGATAGATATGGTGGTCAAGCACTCCCATTTCTTTGAGAACCTGCCGTACTTTACTGTGGTCCACACAGTCAAAGGCTTTTATGTAGTCAATGAAGCAGACTTAGATGTTTTTCTGGAACTCTCTGGCTTTCTCCATGATCCAGTGCATGTTAGCAATTTGGACTCTAGTTCCTCTGCCCCCTCAAAATCCAGCTTGTACTTCTGGGAGTTCTTGGTCCACATACTGCTGAAGCCTACCTTGTAAGATTTTGAGCATCACTTTGCTAGCGTGTGAAATGAGTGTAATTGTACGGTAGTTGGAGCATTCTTTGGCATTTCCCTTCTTTGGCATTGGGATGTAGACTGATATTTTCCAGTCCTGTGGCCACTGTTGAGTTTTCCAAATTGCTGGCATAATGAGTGTAGCACCTTAACAGTGTCATCTTTTAAGATTTTAAATAGTTCAACTGGAATGCCATCACCTCCACTGGCCTTGTTGTTAGCCATGTTTTCTAAGGCCCACTTGACTTCACTCTCCAGGATGTCTGGCTCAAAGTCAGCAGCCACACTATCTGGGTTGTCCAGGACATCCAGATCTTTCTGGTATAATTCCTCTGTGTATTCTTGCCACCTCTTCTTGATGTCTTCTGCTTTGGAAGTCAGCATTCAATTTTCTGTAACTTTCCCTATCTCCCTTGCATTTTGTTTCCCTTCCCTTCTCTGCTATTTGTAAGGATAGCCACTTTGCTTTCTTGCCTTTCCTTTTCTTTGGGATGGTTTTTGTTGCTGCCTCCTATACACTGTTACGAGCCTCCATCCATAGTTCTTCAGGCACTCTGTCCACCAAATTGAGTTCCTTAAATCTGTTCTTCACTTCCACTCTGTATTCATAAGGGATTTGGTCTAGATTATACCTGACTAGCTTAGTGGTTTTTCCGTACTCTCTTCAGTTTAAGCTTGAATTTTGCTATAAGAGGCTGATGACCAGAGCCACAATCAGCTCCAGCTCTTGTTTTTGCTGACTGTATAGAGCTTCTCTATCTTTGGCTGCAGAGAACATAATCAATCTGATTTCGATGTTGGCCATTTGATGATGTCCATGTGTAGAGTTGCCTCTTGTGTTGTTGGAAAAGAGTGTTTGTGATGACCAGCTTGTTCTCTTGACAAAATTCTTTTAGCCTTTGCCCTGCTTCGTTTTGAACTCCAAGGCCAAACTTACCTGTTGTTCCTTTTATCTCTTGATTCCCTGCTTTAGCATTCCAATCCCCTAGAATGGCAAGAACATCTTTCTTTGGTGTCAGTTCTAGAAGGTGTTGTAAGTCTTCATAGAATTGGTCAATTTCAGCTTCTTCAGCAGTTCCCTTACCCCACCCCAAAGTTCTTAAGGATCCTTTCATTATGGAGGAGCAGAAAAGAGAGGTATCTTTCATTTCCAGAAATCAGTGCCACCAGTAAAATTCCCAAGATCAAAATGGTTCCCACAGAAGCTTCAGCACCTTTGGGAGGGGAAGTGAAAATGTTTTACTTCCAAAATGTAGTCACAGCTAATGACATCATAAGCCTTCTGCGACATGAATTACAGAACAGGTTTTCAGTCTATATTTGAAGAATTTGAAGTGAATTTATTCGCTAAGGCTTTCACAGCCGGGATCGAATGGTTGTTGTGGGTTTTTTGGGCTCTTTGGCCCTTCCTAACCTTTCGCCAGTCTCTGTGGCCGGCATCTTCAGAGGACAGCACTCCCAAGCCAACTACACCAGAGCACAGAGTGCTGTCCTCTGAAGATGCCGACCACAGAGACTGGTGAAATGTTAGGAAGAACAACCTTCAGAACATGGCCAAAGAGCCCAAAAAACCCACAACAACCAATTTGAAGTGAGTTAGATCTGTCTACAAAACAGGTTAGGCCGAGAGAATATGACTTGATGAAGATTATCTCTTAACCTTCACAGAACTAAAACCTACACCTTCCAGTGTCTTGTCCCCTTCAATCCTATATGCATGTACTTCGAAATAAGCTTTGCTGAACTCATTGACATGTATTTCTGAGCAGACATACACAAGATTACACTGTGAATGTCCACTGCAATTAGGTGATGTTAACCAAATTTATTGAAGCCGTGGGGCAGATGGTAAATTACTAACGGACACTTAATTTTTAACAAGCATTTTGATGCCTCAACTTTTTTTAGGATTTCAGTGCAGATTTTTCCGAACTGGATGGCATCATCCACCAACACAGGCAGGAGATGGAAGAATCCAGCAGCACTGGTTCTCAGACTTCAGAACTGGAACGCTTCCAAGGTTTGAATAATATAGTACTTCTAGATCATCGAAGAGCCAATGTGGTGTAATGGATAGAATGGCAGACTAAGACTGAGGAAACCTGGATTAAAATACCCACTTGGAAACCCATTGGGGACACTGCTAAAAGCATTTCTTTAAAAACCCACATATCTTGAAAGTCTTAGGATCATCATAAGTCTAATGTGACAATATTAGAGCATCTACAGTAAATGACAACACTTTGTCTAGGCATCATAACAATCCCCAAAGCACAAGGAATGTAGCTATCATTCATGTACCACTTGTTTTAATGTACAAAGAGTTCTACATTTTTCATGATACTTGTTTTTACAACACAGCCATGAGCCCTAATCATATAATGCCTGATTTTATTGGGAGGGATGGCATTCTCCTAGTCTGTGATGGACTGATACTTATTTAAGAGATTTCATAATTTAGCCCACCATGCACTATGTACCTAAAATCACATTAACTAGCCCTTAAAAATAAAGAGTTACAGTTACTCATAATTAATTCAATTATGAAATAACAAAGGCATAACTTAGTTACATTGCAGTATTAACCTAAAGAGCAATAACCTCATTCCTTTTGCACAGTGTAACTGCAACTTGTATAATTAGAGGCATGTAGAGGAGGAACATCAGATGGTTCAAAGATTAGCTCACTGCACTTCATGCTCTGCTGTGGATGCTGAGGAAATAGCAATGAAACTAATGGTACACATAATTAGAAGAGAAAATTTCCTAAGTGCTGAAAGGTGTTTGTCATAGCATGAAATTTGTACACCTTCCCTGGTTGGCAAATCAGCTTGTTTTGTTTTGAAAACATGGGCTTTATTTGAAGTTGTGACTGCTGAAGTTGAAGGCAGCAGGGAAAAAAGGAAGGCCAAATATGTGATGTATTGACCCTGTATAAAGGAAGCCACAGGGTTGAGATCACGAGAGGTGAGATGACTGTTCAGGACAAGACATTTTGAACATCTCTCATTCATAGAACCACCAAAGGTCAAAGAAGACTTGATGGCATGTAACAACTATTTATTTATTTATTCATTCATTCATTCATTTACTGCCCCATTATTCTGCCCATTTAACATGAAATAAGCAAAATAATTAGATTAGATTAGGCATCCTTCAGTCTTGAGAGACTATGGTAACACCATCTAGTGTGGTTGAGAAAGCCAATTCGAGAGTAGCAATCCCTTCCACACTGAAGACAAATACAATCTGTCCCCTGTCCGGCTCCCTGATTTTGCTGCTTCCGGGACTGCCTCTTTGCCTCGGCCTGCTGGACAAGGGTCTCTTCAAAATGGGAGAAGCCATGATGCACCGCCTGCCTCCAGGCTGAACGCTCAGGTGTCAAGGTTTCCCATCTGTTGAGGTCCATTCCTAAGGCCTTCAGATCCTGCTTGCTGATATCCTTGTATTGCAGCTGTAGTCTCCCTCTGGGGCAATTTCCCTGCAAAATAAGTAAAACATCAAATATAACATAAACAATTACACCAGAGAACCAGCATAACCCCAGATGGTGCATTAAAATCAGATCAGTAAAATAGGGGTGGAAAATTAAAAATTATTTTTAAAAACAAGTTTCTTAGCAGTGAGGAAATAGTATTGTGTCCAGTCTCACCTAGAAGCCGCAGATCCATGTTTCAACTGTTGTAGGGCAAACTGATTGTTAATTGTTTCTTAAATTGTTCTTAATGTTCTCCCAGCTCTTAAATATAAGATATAAACATTCTTCTTCTTCAACAGATTACCATATAGGTGAGACTGAAGCACATCTAAAACCTTCCAAGGTGGAGACAAAGCCCCTCCATACAGATGGACAGTCTAAATACTTATGTGATGATAAAGTCAGGAACGTTTCAAGAAATGGTAAATAAACAAAATCCATCTTTAGTTATGATGTTGGGGGCTAAGGTGATAAAGCCAAGGTCATATAACCAAACAGCAGGTATTTTACTGTCTAAGGGAGAGCACCAAAAGTATCCTCCTGTCCCTGCAAGCTAAAGGACATATTATCCAACACGAGCCATGTTATTTTGATACTTCAAGCAGAAAATTTTGCAACAGCCCAACCGTAACAGTAACAAATACAGGAGGAATTGATTAACGGAAATGATGAACAGTTTGCTGCCTTTTCATGACACCCCAGTTTTGCTGCCTGAGGCAGCAACCTTACTCTGCCAGGTGGTAGGGTCAGCCCTTGCTTATAGAGTTGGGTGGGGGAACCATAGGTTGAATTTCTTCCAGATGAGGGGGGGGGAGCCTTTTTACTCATGGAATGAGAAGGAAAATGCATTTCAAATGCGTTTTCCCAATTGACTGAGAACCTCTGCAGGTTCTAGCAGAAGCAACGAAAAGCGATGTAAGATTTGCCCATAATTCCCATGAGATTATTTGCCAAAGAAAACTAGCACTTTGTCTTCCTTTACCTCACATATCAGTGGCTCCAGCCACCCGTCTGTAACTACAACCTAACATTTGAGTTCTTGTTGTTTTTCAGACTATGCAGACATGCATGATTTGACTTCATATTACTCTATTTCATTTTTGAAACAGAACTCTGCAAGGCTGAGAGACATTGTAGCATACACAGATGTTTCTGGTGGGGCCTAAATTGGAAAGAAACATTATAGATAATCTGTCAGTACAGTTGAAAACATGTTAGAGTTGAAGAGACGTAATTCAGGCAGACTTTGATAAGAAATCAGACTTGAAGGGAATTCCATGCTTTTTTTCTTAGACAACCAGTTGTAAAACAAAGAAAGCTAGTTTGGCAGATAAGACAAGCACCTGCTCTGATACACACATTGTTCTTTTGAAGATTTTCTCTTGTAGTGGCAGGTTCAACATTTGTTTCCTCTCTGAGGATATGAAATAGAAGGCCAAAAATGAGTCATTATTGATGAGTCGTTTTTATGAGCAGGAGAAATGAGGAAAGGATTTGTGAATGTACTCAGAACACCACTTTTAGCTGACATTTCCAATAGATTGGAAACTTTTCTCCCAATTATGCCTTCCTTTGGTTTTGTCTTTGACCTGGAACAGTGAAATCTCCACACTCAGTACATTTTTGTTATTTATGTATGCAAATTAATATTCTTTCCTTCTCTGCTGGATGACTTTGAGTACATGCAATGGGTGCAGAGAAAAATGATTTTTTTCAATGACAGCGTCACCATGGAATAGGCCCTCCGATAAGCACTACCTTTTGTTCAATCAGATTCACTCGGAATTTTCCACTCATGTTGCGCTAGTCTCCATGCCACTCATTTCATCTGTTGCCAGTTCCTCAGTAAAACAAGAGGCTAATTTGGTTCCATTTTGTGGGCAGGAGGAACCATGCATGCAGATTCTACATCCTATAGCCTGACATACTTATGCAATGCTTTAGAATTCTTCCCTCCCCTCCCCTGCCATGCTGAATGTGGCTCCATTCAGATCAGTTTACACTTTGAATTTTATCTCCTGTATGAATGGGAATATGAGCTTCCTAATCTATTAATTAATTAATTACTGTAAATGATGAATTTAATCAAACATTCCTTAGGTATAAAAGTATCAAGTACTGATGACATTAATGTAAGCAGTGGGTTCCATCAACTTAGAATATTATCTTCATGTGGTGTGGTAGACAAAGCCAGTTAAGTGGCATCAGAACATCACCTGCATTACTATACATTGTGATTTTCTCTTTTTTTAAAACAGTGAAATGTATTCTTGCAATTATTTGACAGTTCTAATCTCCCATAGTGTTTAGTTGTGATATTTTTAGATTTATCAAGGTCTAGATTGGTGGTAATAAATATTTTGTTCATCTGACAGTTCCTCCCAACTTCACTAGATTCTTCTACAGACTGGATTACCAGAGGTTTTTTACTGTGAACCACATACTTATTCTCTATGCAATTCTGTAAGTAACTGTGCTTTCCCTCCTCCCCCACAAAAAAAGCTTTGTAGAACTTTTAAAAAGCAAACAAAATGAAAGACTTAGGACCTCTTACCTGGGGCCTGCCTGGTTTGGTGTAAATTTGAGATGAATTCAGAAAGTTGGCCTTCCTGTGGCAAAATAAATGGCTTACACATTCTTTTTTTTTATTATTTGCCGCATAGCCATCAAGATTGGAAAACATTCCCAAATAAAAATTTCCACAGGGGGAGGGGGAGCAATGAAAGGAGGGAGTCAAAACTGTAACCTTTACTAAATTGCTCGAGTGTTGTATTGTAAGGATAATAGGCTTATGTGGTTCTCCAAAATCACTTTGCCAAACTCCTGGAGGCTAAGTGAAAGAAGATTGATAGATGTTTTCAAGGATTACGGGTCAAGTGGAACAGCCAGCAGCACTGACAACCCCCAAGCTGTAGCTAAAGGGATTGATGGTGCAGGTAGCAGTGGAATGCCACTGAGTAAAACCTGCAGTGTTGATGCAGCAGGGGGGGTCACTCTCCTAGTTACAGCAATCAGAGGGGAATTCGTACATGAATTCTACTAAAGACTCAGACTCTGGAGGGGATTATATGTTTAAAGGAGGAATTACACATGGATTTGTATTCCTTAATTTTAGGATGGGGGGGGAGTCTTATCTATTAAAAGAGGGATGGAGAACCATTTTCAGTTCTAGAGCTAAAATGGCCCCAGACTTGCTGAGGTCACATGCCAGCAACAGGCAAAACTACTGCCTGCTGGAAGTGGATCCACTGCTCGCATGTGCCAACAGCAAAAAGCAGCATTTTCTTACTTACACGAATGCACACTCACCTTTTCTTCTCTCATATACAAACATCATTCATACACATGCACCCACAAATGGAATCTACTTTTCCCAGCACCACCTTCTCAACTGGTCCATGCAGATCAATTGGTGGGGCAGTGCATTTTCCTTGGCTAGGGTTAGGTTTTGGCAGCAGTGGGGGAAAATGTGGAAGATGCTATGGGTTTGGGGTAAGGTGTTTTGCTTTCCCCCCCTCCTGCTCCCATTAATCACACAATACATAGGGAAATGTAAATCAGTCCAGAGTCCCCTCCTTCATCCATAGCTTTTCCCCTCTACCTCTGAGACTTCTACCTTTAAAAAAATGAATCCTTTTGCATCAGTGTAGGCATGTGATTGCTTGAACTGATGCAGAAAGGGTAGATGAGCCGAGCACACACACAAAATACCATCTCTCTTGCCTCCTACAGTACTTCACCAGGGAGGACAAGCTGTGCAAATGTACAAACACAAGGCAGCACCAGTACATACTATCTAGCAAAGCCTCTCTCTCAAAACTCTTCCTTCCTTACACATCTTCTACTCCATGGTCAACACTCCTGGAGAGTATTTGGGTGTGTGTGTTTTTACAGCTTAACAGAGCTTGTAAAAACAAATGTGTTGTTTTTTTAAGATAAATAGATAACTAGATGAGGAAACTGAAGAATGAAGCCGTTTAAGGTAGTTTTTTGTAATGATGCCACCTGTAGGGCTATAAATATACTGCAAAAAAGCAACAAAAATGTGTGGCACTTAAATTACATGGACAGAGATCCCCCAGTGTGACTTCACAGCAAATGAATGCAAGTGAATTCACTGTTCCCTTGCTGTGGAGTCACATTCTTCGATAGCATCTGTTACTCAGTGATAAGCCTTTTCCTTTGCTCATCTCTGGGTGAAAATAGAAGATATATTTACTATGCACATTTTTAAAATAGTGCTCACTTTAAGTAGTAAAGGAATTATCTGTACAGCACATGATTTTCTTCACCTTTGTATTTTGAACTGGGCATGCTTTGTTTTATTATGCGTTATTGGAAAGTGAATGTGTTTAATCTTTGAAGAAAACCCACTGTAGAAGGGGAAATGTGTTAATTTCTGGTTAGCCCTTCCTCCTGCTCAAGTGCTGATAGAGGAAGTCTTCCTCATGAGTGGGGCAGGGAAAAGGTGTGGGGCCTGTAAGAGGGAGCAGGGCCTAGAGAAGAATTTGGCAAGCCAGAAAGGGCGAGGTGGCCCACGGGTCACATATTCTCCATGGCTATATTAATTTCTGTGTTAAGGAAAATATATCCAACATAATTTTGAAGGACTTGAAAAAACGTTTCTGTCTTAAAATGACACATCAGCTTGATTGAGATGGAGATTTAAGTTTAAAAATAAAAATTAATACAATAGCAGCTTCAACATCTCAATATGTTTCCAGTACAGTATTGTCAAATGCATCAATATGCTATCAAAGGGTCACATCTATTTCTTTGTCTGTTTCTCACCAAATCTTCCCTACAGTGTTTGCATGCTCATTTTCTCCACATTCTACATGAGATACAAGATATACATTCTGGAAGAGCAACTTGGGTCCATGGCTTCACAAATAAATGAGTAAGTTTGCATTTTCCTTATTGGAACCTTCTTTAGCTTTTCATTGTTGTATGCCTCTTGCTTTCCTGTCACCACAACTTCCTTCCAAATAATTTATTATATTGTATATATTCATAGCTATTCCCATTTTGAAATCCTTACAGCAGGAAAGTGGTGACGAGGAGCCTCCAGTGCACAAAAAATCAACATCTAGGCTCCTGAAGGATCAGATCTCTCTCTCTCTCTCTCTCTCTCTCTCTCTCTCTCTCACACACACACACACACACACACACACACACACACACACAAACAAACACAAACACAAACACACACAACCCTCTCAGCCAGGAAGGAATGGGAGTCCCCATTTAGAGAGACAAACTCCCTGCCACAAAGTTATTGGCAAGATACCCTAGGCCAATGGTTCTTAACCTTGGGTTACCCAGGTGTTTTTGGACTGCAGCTCCCAGAAGCCTTCACCATCAGCTGTGCTGGCTGGGGTTTCTGGAAGTTGCAGTTCACAAACACCTGAGTAACCAAGGTTAAGAACCACTGCCCTAGGCTACAGAATTAGTGTTTTAAAACTGTGTTCTACTCTTACTGTCCAGTCTGGTTTCCTTTTTCTTTCTGCTGTCTATTATTTAATAGCTTTTAAATGAAGGAGTTCATGATTGAGGAAGACCATAGTCTGAAGAGCTTTGAAAGGGGGTGGGGGAACAGAAGGAATTTACTAACAAACATGAGATTCTCTCCTTTTTTACGTGCAGTAGGCATTTTTGCTTGTTCAGAAATCTGCAGGTGAACAAGGTATAAACAAGAGTTCTGTTTGTTTGTTTATTTATTTATTTATTTCGCCTATCTGGACTACCAGTCCACTCTAGGCGGCTTCTACCATCATATTTCACTACAGACATCAAAGACCACACCCAGAAATAGCACCCAATAGGACCACCACCACCCATTGATTGCTAATGAAGTTCTTGAGAAAATATATCGTTGCCATATTTTTACTGTCTGCCCTACTGTGGCTTTTACAAGAAGGCTGGCATGCAGAAATTTGGAAGATGAATTATTTTCTGACATGAAGACAAAGTGATAGAAACCTATGTGCCTCCTAAATTTCTACATGTCAGGCTGCTGTTAAAGCTACTAGAATAAAGTCAGTTTTTATGAACTACTCAAAACTATTAAACATTGCACAATCTCATTTTATTCAGTGGCACGCAGTTTCAGTTTAAAGCTTATGGATGAACTTTTTGCAAAACACAAATTGTGACAATCTTTTAAAAAGAACAAAGGATTATGTACTTTGTACAAACTCATGGCATTCCCTTACTAAGAAGTAGTGGTTCTATGCTACACCTATTAGTCTCCATGTTACAACATATAAAGTAAAGGGCTCCTTCTTTAGACCACCATAATCATGGTTATGACAGTAACTTCAGCTACTCCTATATGGAAATATTAGTTCTCATAAGTGCACCTTCATGTAAACATGGTCAAGATATGAGTCTGAATTTGAGTAGGCAGCACTAGGTTTGATGGGGCTGGCCTGGTCTTCCATGGGAGGGAGGGAGCTCCAGCGTGTGGGAGCAGCAACAGAGAAGCCCCTCTCCTGTGAAACACCTATGAAGGTGGTGGGGCCCTCAGTGGGGATTCCAAATGCTGGCCCCTAGCTCCTCCACCAGGTGCTCCAACCGAATGAATTATAGAATCTCCCATGTATGATGTTACCTGTTTTTAATTGTATGATTGTTTTATTGCTGCTCAGAGGATTTTCTCATTTTCTGTTCTATGCATCACCTTAGGAGGGTTGGCCCCAAAATTGGCTTCCATGAGCTAAATTGATTTTTTTTTGTCCCAGCCAGAGTAGACTAATTGAAATAAATGGGATTTATTTATTATCACTTCTTAAAATATTATGGATCTGTCCTCCATCTCTTTTTTATTCATATACGAGTATCTATCTCTATCTTTCATTTCAGACATCCAGTACAAGAATGTTTAGGATCCTCCCTGCATCTTAATGTTGACGGTTTCTGTGAGGAGCTAACAGCTAATTTGGTAAAACTAGAAAAGGTAAATATAGAGAACTGCTTAAATAGTAATAATTAAGTTATAAAACTTTATCAAAAATAACTAGACTTCGTAAATCTTAGAAAAAGAGCTATCAGGGTTGGTAAGTGTGGAATATAGTGCTAATGGTCTAAATTCATCATTGTACCAAAATGACCAGGTTTTAAAAAGGGCAGGGCTGTGGTGAAAGGAAATTCCAGCAATAGTAGCTTGTTGGAATTTGTTAAGAACAAATTCTTACCAGAAAATTGGATCACACCCACCTGGCAGAATAATAGTGAATAGTAAGTAATAAATGAAGGCTGCCATTTTAACTTCCTTAGTAGCTTCAGGTTCTTAGCTTGAACTCCAGAAACCCACCAAGTAGTTTGGAAATGATTCTGCATCGAAAATGGTATCATATGAATCAGACCTCTTACAGATATGGGCACAGACTCTAATAGTTACAATACCACTTTTTAAAAAAATGCCACTATAGCTGGGCACAAACCACCCATCAGTTTGGTGGTTTGTGAGGGTTTGTTTATCGGCTGAAGAGTGTTCAGCACTTCCTAGCCCCACCTTCTCTGGCAGGCACCCGCTCTGAGGCAGCACCTCGACTCCCCCGACCCACCCACCTCCTCCAGACGCTGTCAAACCCCTGTTCAGCTGATAAACAAAACAGCACAAACCGCTGAACAGACAGTTCGTGCCCATTTCTAAACTTTACTGGATTTGATACTAGGAATCTGAGATATCTGTGAAGAGTCATCTCAAATACTGCAGCTTTTCCGTGAGAAGGCATCCTTTGGGAACAGGGCATGTTAAGCCCTTTTGGAAAGGGTGAACCAGCTCTTGGAATTCATACAATAGAGCCTACCTTTAAAAAAGAAAAAAAAAGCAAACCTTAATCATTCACTTCATTTTCTAAGTGCTCTTGAAATGCCATTGGATGGGGTCTGGTCTCTGCTCTTTGTAACCAGAAGCACTTTTTTTGTTTTGTTTAGTCTTCTACTCACTGCAGATGCTGTCTGTTCCAGTTCATTCGCTAATTGTAGAAGTTAGATGTACTTGCAGACTCTTTCACAGGAGTTTCTAGTCTAAAACTAGCCAGGGAGGCTCCAGTCCACTGCAATCCTATATCCAGTGAAACTTACTTCTGAGTAGAAGTGTAGAAGCTTATGGTCTTCTTAAGTACCGCAATAAAGTAGTTACAGCTGAGAGGTTTTCCCTCAAGAGAGGCTTGCCTTTGTCAACTGTATTCTTTGTATAGATATAGTTTGTATCACTTCCCACTTTCCAAATTTGTGGAAAATAGAAAATGGTCCAGTCCAGGCATACCAGGAAACCATGGTGCTCTTTGTCTTTTCTGCAGAAGTGAATGCAATTACACTTCTGTGTTCTTTACTTTATACAACAGAACATTTCTCCTGAAGTATATTCAAGATGGAGAAAATCACTTTTCTGGATGACAGCTCCAAAACAATTTTGCACTCCAAGAAGTTTTTTTTTTTAATTACATCCATGGCTGGAGTATTCTGTAAAGTGTAATCTAGCGAAGTAACTTTTCTTATATCTGATTATATCTGTCCCCACTCAACAATAAGAGATCTCATCACATCGAAAAGGGCAGAGTCTTCTCTATGAGAAGCCACCACCCGTTGAGGTTTTCAGACATAAAGAGGAGGCGTCAGTTTTTCATTCCATTGTGTATTGCTAGTGTAACCTGAAAGCTGCACCCCCATCAGTGATGCATCTTATCTGCACTCTCAGCCATGAGATGAATTTAATGGCAAAGGTCATCGCCACAAAATATGGGGATTCTTCTGGTTCCTCCCTCATCTCCTAATAATTTTGTACCCTCTAGACTGGGATGAGCAACTCGAGCCCCTGCAGGCACCAGCCCCCCCTTTACATTTAAAAATCCAAAAGCAATATTGTGTTGCTACTTGTGTTGCTGCTTAATTGCCACTGTGAGATCTGGGAGCACAAATTTGGCCCCCAGTAGATCACCCATCCAGGATGGTGGAAAATTCAGAACTGAAAAGCTCAGACACTTTTCTGGCATTTTTCCTGATAAAATATTGCCCAACTGCAGGTCTTGTTTCTGCCCATGGACAAGGAAAATTATCTTTGTGGTTTTTTTTTCCATTTTTCATAGACCGTAGACATTCAAAGCATGCTGAATAACACTTCAGTTACTCCACAATGAGCCAACTCTTGTATTTGACTCATTCACAGTATTTTTTTCCCTTATATGCAGTTTATTCCAACCTACCTGCTGGCATATATTCGTGTGGGTTTCTGTGACTGTAGAAATATTTTCCCAGTTATTGTAATTAGAGGAAACTGATTTTAAAAGTTCACACAGTATGCTTCCCCTGTGTGCAAGTAGATGCTTATGGGTGAGGGAGGACTATGTGTACAAATCATTACAATAGGAATACTACAGACAGAGATTATTCTGGATAGTTCTGTATAACATAATCTGTCACCTACTTATAGTAGGCTTACTGATTTAAAGGGTTAAATGAAATTACTGAATTTAATGTACAATGACAAGTTAAAGGAAATATATAGTGGAAGTTTCTCTCCAGACACACAGATCCGTCAAAGCACAATCAGACTTGCAAATAAGCCAGTGTGATTTTGCAAGCTCATCCCAAGACAATCAGATTTTTTAAATTATTATTTCAGGAGCTCTGTTTCTAATAAAGTGCTAAACATGTCCTCTAGTTTGGGCCTTCAGTGGATTGTGACTCTGGTCCTCTTCCTATTATTGTGGAAGTGGCAGAAAATGTCATCCACCCCATTTCCTCTCTCTCTCTTTCCACAGCCCACAATGTTTTCTTCTTTCCTCACGAATTTTTGTTTTAAAGATTTTCCCTTTAAATCGTTTTTTTTTCCCTTTCTTTAAAGATACAGCGCAACTTACAAAAGCTACTTGAAGACAGGGAATGAACTGAAGACTTCATTCATACCTCATTTCCTACTTGAGAAGGCAACTTAAAAAGCTGGTTCTGCAGGCCAGGGTGCCTATTACCTTTAACTCAATCAAAAGCTACAATCTTTTGCAGCTCCTATAGTTGGCAGTTGTGAAAGTACATATCTGTGCAATAAAGTGCATCTATTCAGATGATGATGCCTTAAAGCTATCTATAATGGCATGTGAATAATTGGGAAGACAGATCTTGACACTTTATTACATTGTTCAGATCCACAGTAATTCTATTTTATTTTTATGTGTGACTTTCAGATTTTAATTTAAGTAGATAAGTGTAGTCCTTAGCCTTGGAAGTGCAATATATGGTACCACTGATCTCTAAAGCTTTGTGTTGTCTTCATGCTTATATCTGAATACACACTCTAGTTTATTTTATCTTTTTTCTTATCCAGACATAGGAGCTGGACATGTATGCTGGGCACAAGTCCCACATGTGCTCATTTGGACCCTTGAGTTGTCCTCTGCCAGGTGCTCTGTTTCTCATATTCTTGCTTGGTAGGAGATGGCATATTTTATAAAGAGTTGCCAAACTGGTCTATTCTGTGTGCTAAAGAAATGTATCAGTTGAAGCTTTTCCTGGAAAAGGCCAGAATCCTTTCAGTGTTTGCATAAGGTTTGAGTAGCTTGCCGCAGCAAATTGAGGCTAACTGACAAGGTGCAAGGGTGTAACTGAGTGCATGACACAACCAAGTCGCACCCCAGTGCCTTGTGCCTTAGCTACAGCTAGCCAGAGCAACTTAGGTAAATCTTTCACAAACACCAATAAGATTCTGGCCAACTGATTTTTTTATTTTATTTTATTTTTGCGTAAGTAGTAATTGTTACTGTATTTCCATCTCAGGAAGCTGTCAAAGGCATATCCCAAGATCTAATTAAAATTAGATGATCATCATCCCATTGAACTGAATTCAGATCAAATTGATGACATATGGCTCCCACTGAAATGAGTTTCCATAGGTATAGCTGGGAAAATATTTTGCAACAATAAAGTTTTAAGACATCTTGAAGGGAAGTAAATTTATAATACCTGTGCAAGTTAGTTAAGACAAACTTTTTATATTGAGTTCAGTGGGACCAAAGAAATTAAATTGTCTAGACTCAATGCATCACATTTACTGGGACTGAAATACCAGATCTGTTTACCCATGAAGTATCCTGCAGATATAGAAGTGACGTACATAATGGTGATTAGTTTATGCAACAAGGCCTCTCATACCTATCACCAGTATTTATGAAAATACACTCCAATTTCTCCAGAAAGGGGCATAAACTGTTAATAATGTTCCATAATTTTAAACAAAACAGCATAACCTTCTGCACAGTTGTTCACCAGATGGGTCTTTATAGAAGTCTAGAGCAGAGGTTCAATCCATTTAAGCTGGTATACACTTTAAATAAGACAGGAGTAGGCACATGGCTGCAAAGCAGTCAAACTTCGCAGGCTAGTTAAATTAGTTTAAACCAGTTTATTCCAAAATGATTTATTTAAAGTCCTTATCTTTTCCAGTATTAAGCACATATCTTACACATCTTTGGGTTGCAACCCTGCCATAGTTTCCTTGGGATTTTAAATGGTTGCTTCTATTCAACATGCTAGGAGAGTGGCTAATTGATGAAGGCAAATTCTCAGAAGCAGTGACATAATGGGTATCAGTAACTCAGGGCATGTCCAGATTGGTCCTTCTGGTGCAGGCTGCTGCACTCCAAATTGGGTATGTTGAAGGGGGGGCGGTACAGGTGATACTGTGACCCTGGCATCCAAATGGCATAAAAAGGGAGAGGCAATCTATGTGTAGCCATGCAAGGGGAGGGAAAGCAGCCAATCAAAAGCAGAGAGACACCTGTCTGCCCTTTACAGTCCTGTTTGGCTACACTGAGTTTGGAGAGAAGGAGGGAGAGGGAGCAGAGAGAAAGGAGCAAGACATGCAGAGAAGGGATGTGTGCAATCTCCCCCTGCCCACCTCCACCCCCAAGCTCACATATGGAAACAAAAGAAATGGATCCTCAGTTTTTGCACTTTATATTGAATTCACATGCACACACAAAGAGATAGGGATTGCTTGGAGGGTGTAAAACAGATTAAAAAGGAAAGGGAGGGTGTGCGTGTGAACAAGATACCTCCCCAACAGGATCTCTGTATCCATTTAAAATTTGAGACTCTCAATTCTGTGCTGCAGGTCCACATACACCTCTCTATTTGCACCTTCCAACCACCTTGCCTTTTCTGCCTCTCTTTTGCACGCAACAAATGCCCCACAAAAAAGAGGAGAGAGAGAGAGAAAGGGGGGAAATATGTATCTTCCTTTGCTGACGTAAGTGTTGATATCCTGAAGCAGCTTGTTTGTTAAGCACTTCACAATACAGTGGTGCCTCGCAAGACGAATTTAATTCGTTCAGCTGTTAATGTCTTACGAAAAATTCGTCTTCTGAAATGCATTTTCCCATAGGAATGCATTGAAATCTAATTAATGTGTTCCTATGGGCAAAAAAAATTTAGAACAAGATCAAATTTGGTTTACAAAGGGTTTATTAAGTGCTCTTTAAAGCCATACATATTGTGCAGATGATTTCAAAAATTTCAATAAAAAAACTTTAACTTTTTAAACACCATAGAAAAACATGTAAAAATCAGCAAATATGAGGCAGGAACAAAAAAGGGAAAACATTCGTCTTGCGAAGCATGGCCATAGGAACATTCATCTTGCAAGTCATCAACCCCATTGCTAAAACCATTCGTCTTGCGAGTTTTTTGTCCTGTGAGGCATTTGTCTTGCGAGGCACCACTGTACTGGAAATTCAAAGCAGAAGGAGCCTTGGCAGCACTGACATCTGGAAGGCTCAAATTTTGTCCATTCCCAGCAACCACATGTGCTGAAAAAGGACTAAATTAGTGCACACCAACCCATACCAGAAAAAGTAGAAGTACCTGACAGGGGCTCAGAAGGGTGAAGAGTAGGGTGCCTTGGGGGCAAATTGGAGCAAATTGGTCCATTCGTCATGTGGATGCCAGGAGAAAAGCAGACCAATCCACTACAGCAGCAAACCAAACAAAGAGGGAGAAATGCCTCTCTGGACATGCTCTTAGTGACATTTTAATTGTGGGATCATTATTTTTGCCACTACAATATCCATAGCCCATCTTTTCCTATATACTGTTGTGTTCAAAATGCCTTACAAATGTAAAGCTGGTGATTCTTTTTGTTTGTTTGTTTGCCGGATGAGTTAATTCAGAATAATATTACTGTATTTAAAGTATATTTGATCTGTGTTTTGTTTACATAGCAGAGTTATGTCTTATCATTTCTGTGAAATGTAACTTATTTGTTTTTAAAATAAACTGTTTCTAAAACTGGTTCTATGACTGTTCTTTCTGCATATCCTATCCATACAGAAGCTATCTGCACAGAATCCTACCATTGGCTGAATGAAGATATGAAACGTAATAGTAGCTTCTTTCTGAGATTAAGACATTAGCACCATTACTTAGATTACGGCTGGAAACTCAAGGTTTTCAGAAGTACAAAAAATCTTCATCTTTTCCCCCTCAAATGGGGGCAGTGTTTAAAAAGCAGCTGGGCAAGAATTGATTATCTTCAGTGGCCATGGACAGCTAGAAGGCCCAGAGGGAGCAGAGATGGAACAGAGTATTCTAAACCAGAACACAGAGTGTTCCAATATTTTGCCACCAGTCCATTTCTAGACATTCTGTGTGTAATGAATTAGTTTGCAACATGCCAGCCTCCTTGTAACGAAAGATTTAGATACTTAAACCTATTTTCAAGATAAATATTGTAACTATTCTTCTTGTGCAAAGCTGTATGCCCTCAGATTCTACACAAATCTAGAACTGTTTTTGGAATGTGATACTGGCTTGGAAACTTGGGAATCTATGAACACTTGCTTTTATTCTAAAAAGTAAAGCAAAGCTTAGCTATACTATTCCTGATGCAGGAAATGCTTGCGAATGTGCTGGCAGTGACTGATGAAATATCTCATGTTTGGAGCAAGTGAGATGAGCAGAATACACTGTGGCTGGTGGTGCTGTGTTATCTGTAAACTGGCAGTAGCAGCACAAATTATGCCAAATAGAAGCAACTCTTCTTCATTTGATTACTTGTATACAGACTGCAGAGTTTAGTTTTTCCTAGCACATAATTCTAAAGCTTGATTTTAAGAATTGGGTGAGTTGAACAGAGAAGCTATAGTATAGGGTAAGGCACAGGTTGGTTTGGGCTCTGTCTCTTTGCATTCTGTTCTTTCTCATCTTCAGCCCAGAAGCCCAACATGCATAACACCTGCCTGGATTTTATCTCACTGATGCAAGGCACAAGCAATTTGCTATAGATTTCAAAAATCAAGCTGAAACATCTGCAAGTAGAAAAATGCCCTTTCCCTTACATAGCATCCCAAGGTAAGTCTACATGGAAGCAAACAAGGCTTAAATAACCATGTAGTGTAATGGCAAGATCTGGACATTGACACTTGTATTGCATGTTTAATCTCATATACAACATACGTAGATCACATAAATTCTAACAACGGTAGCCATCAAACAGTAAGATAAATGTCTGTACATATTATGTATTTATTTAAAGCAATCAACCTATTTAAATGCCATTGTAACTAGCAGCTTTCACAGCTTCCTTAAAAAGCAGTGGTTCTGTATTGTAAGCTCATATTAGTTACAGCAATTTAGTTTGAAACTGTTTAATCCAGTATATTGAGACCCATTCACACAGGATCACTGCTAGCCAAAGAATGCTTTCATTCCTGGGTAGGTAGCTCAGATTATCAATGTGTTCAGCAATCTGCTTAAAACACACATGATTTCCTTTAGCTCCCTACATATAGGTTCTAGCTGTGCAGTGGATTATTTAAACTTGCTGCAATATCACCTTAATCCAAATCTCTTACATAAACTGTTTTGTTGTTGCTGGTTTTTTGGTGGTTCATGACCAAGAAGATGCACCTTCATTGCCACGCACCTGATACCACTAACACCTTTCCTGGTGAAACTGATTCCAGTATTGGGTTTGACTGCCAAATTAAAGATTATAGGAATGCTCCACTGCACCCACTGAAATTATGTGAGTAATTGGTATCGCATATCGCTGTTGCTTAAGCTCTGCTGCTCACATGGCAACAGTTATCCGTTCCACTTGAGCAACTCAATGTGAACATGGGCAAAGAAGCCAGCAAGATCAGCAATCACTTTGAACAGCAGCTTTCTGCAGTATAAAATTTCTGAATCAGAAATTTGTAGAAATGTATGGAGACAGTTATCTGGCTGTATAAACTCTGCCTTGTTTATTCTCACAAGCTCATTATACAGAATGATATATCAGTTAAAGCAGCATCAAAACATTTTTCCAATGAGAATTTCAAGGATTCTCTATCAGTTTGGCAGATTTTAAAAAAAATCATCAGTTTCAATATTCACTTGTTGCTTGCTACAGCTATAAATGCATTCCACATTGCCCAATCATGTCTTCACATTTCTAAAGTTTGTACTTGTGTCTTTCCAAGAGAGATCCACCATTCTCAATCTCTGCTGACTTTTTCCACTACGCGTTGTTGACCACTGCTCCTTAACAGTGTTAATACAAACAAATATTTGACTACTGATCTGTCACAAAATCAGAAGAAATAGTGTGGCTCTAATACTGAGACAAGATGTAGTACAAGCAGTTAGAGGCTATAACATGAATTATAAAGTCTGTTCTCCAATGACAGATGCGGAAGAAGAAATCAAAAGGTTTTATGCAAGTATCCAGGAGGAGACCAATCACACATCAAAAGGTTTGCTGATAATCATTGGTTATTGGAACACAAAAATAGGAAACAAAGCAGAATCAAATATTGTTGGAGAATTCTTCACTAATAGGAGTCAGACATAGGCATCAGGAGAATGACTCAGAAGTCTGTGACACCACCAGTGTTTAAAATGCAAATATAAGTTTTATTAATCCTGACAGACAATTTTACACATGGATGTCATCAGATGGCTAATACAGAAACCCAGTTGACTAAATAAGTGGAAGTAATGAGTGAAGAAGCAGATTGTATTACTGACAATGAACTGTTAATATCAAAACTTGTACTAAAGCTGAAAAAGAACACCAAATAGAGCACAGTGCCAAAATATAATTTCAGTAACATTTCTGGTGAAATTGAAGCCCATATGAAGAAGATATCTGCATTACTAAACTCAATTGACCATGAACCAGAAGAATCTGTGGATGGAAACCAGAGATGTAAGGGAAGAATGCAAAAAGACTAATCCTGTAATCACAAGAAAATAAAAGCCTAGATGAATGGCTAAGCAAACAATTAAAATTGTTAATGACAGGAGAAAAAAAAATAAAAGATGACAGAAATAGGGTCAGGTTTCTAAATGTAGATTTCCAAGTTGCAGATGAAAGAGTGAACATTGGTGAATGAAACATAAGCAATTTAATATATTATTGACAGGATTCTTTGGAATTGACAGTAATGCTGGAAAAGCAGCAGGAAAAGAGGAAGATCAAATAGGAAATTGATTGACTTGACAAAGGAAACAATAGCCTTACTTTTGCAAGAGCTGAGCAGGGCGGTTAATGATAGGACATTTTGAAGATCGCTCATTCATGGGCCCCCTCTAAGTCTGAAGTAACTTGATGGCACATAACAAAAGCAACTGGTTCTTCAAAAAATAGGAGAGAAAAATAAATGTTTAGCTTGCTGTGTTATTGTTTATTATTTGCAATCTTAGCTGCCTTGATTATTTTCTAATAGAGTAGCAGGATAACAAAAAAGCAAACTGTGATTTTGAACAAGTTTATTTCAGGATTGAACCAGCTCTTTACAAACAAGTGTGTGATCTTTGATAACACAGATAAGCGCAGGTGCCGGTCAAGAACATGAAAGCAATTAGCAACTCCTGTTCTCCTAAATAATAGGATTCAACGAGGTCATTTTCCATTGAGAAGGCATTTTGCCAATGCTTAGCAGGAGATTGGAAGGCAATCATTTGAATGTGCTGCCAAGTGAAAAATTAAAAATTAACTTTCTTTGTGTTAAGTCACAGACACCTAGAAAAACAGTGCTTACCAGTATGAAAACCAGAGAGCTGGGATTCAGATCTCAAATCATGGTGACCTCAAATAAATGTGCAGGAATGAGCATGTGCAACTCTGTTTTGTCAGGCCATGAGATCAGAGATGCAGAGAGGATGATGAGCCACAAATGATGTGCATGATTTCACACATTATTTTCCATGACATTGATCTCTGTTTCAGAAGGATGAAATGGCATGGCAACATCATATGGCACAACAGGCAGAAACAGAAGGATTGTGTAGCGGGGAAAACAGTCTAGCTCTGGTACAAAGTTTTTCTTTACATTTTAATTATCTTTCTGTTGTTGATAACAAAAGAAAAAACCTTCGGAATCCCTGGATAACGTATGCTTATTATCATGGTTCAAATC